ACCAATAGTAATCGAGTGCATAGGATATACGGTTGGTGGTAGAAAATTCTCAACATGTCGCCTGTCTGTCTCACTCTCGTTCAAAGTCTTATTTTTCTTCAATTCACAACCACAAAACAGATTGCTTGATTATGATCAATACACCTCGAAAGTCAGCTTGTGCATCAAAACCACCACCAAAACCGTCGAAACAGATCACAGTCAAACGATACACAACTGAGGAGGCGAGTGAGTTAGCCGAATTGGTAGTGAGATATCGGGATGTTTGGAGAGACAAGAGCCATCCATCCGCACTTCTTCAGAAACATTTGTGGATGCAATTCGCACATTATCTACAGTCGAAGGGATGGCCGAGAAGAAACTGGACTCATCTGCGTCGGAAGGGCCTGTACATGTTGAGGAAACTCAATAACATGACAATCAGTCATTGGGAGGTGTCGAAAAGCAATCCCAACACCCCTGAAAATCCCTCGAACCACACGCCACTCTCCAGTTCCGATGCAAATCGACACGTGAACGTGAACGGACAAAGTGATTCGGTAAGTTCGCCTTGCCCAATGACGTGCTAATTGTTTTCATCGAATTCAGGTGACCGAGAACCAGTTGAGTGTGCATCGACCCAACTTGCCTACACTCACCCCCTCACCTGTGGTAACCATCACCTCCAATCTTCCCACATCGACACTCAGTCCTCCTACAAACCACGTGCAACCGAATCCCCCACACACAACCGGTCCAAAAATCCTGAACGCATTCTCAACAGCTCATATGTCCCAACAACTGACGATTGCACATGATGCTGAAGTGCTGCAGCCAACCAACAACAACACGGTTGGTGAGGTGGCGATTAACCGAGTCGCGTTACTGACTCCTCTCCAATTTGTCTCGTTCGGAGTCGCGAAAACCCACACTGCAGACGTATCTCCTGTTCGAGAAGTGAATATCTCGAACTCACCATCCAACCAACCGAGTCGCATTCCTCTGACTGCAACAATTGATTTATCAACGTCGAGTGAGGACGAGGAGATCTGTCCAGAGTTGAGTGGAACGCGATATCAGACGAACACGAATCACGCGAATGACTTGGGTGAAAAGTCCAAGGATTGTATCACGTAAGTAGGACACCTATTTTCAACTGACACGTTTCACCTTATATATATTATTCCTGTTGTTGTTTGTTGTTTGACTCTCACCACTAGCACAACATATCCCTGGTTAGCTGACTGACCGCTCCACACTGCTTGCTGTGTGATCAAGAGAATGTGCATTTATTTTATGACTATGGTTGTCACTGTAGCTCTGTGAGAACGAGACTTAGCAGTAGGATTTGATTCACACAAGCAGTGAGTGAAGCACACAACGAGGTAGATGGATAGATAGACAAATGAATAGACATTCGGACAAATAAGCAGTACACTGTTTGCTTACGTCCAATGGTGTTCTATCTCACTGAAGTGTTTTCGTCCCACGTTGTGCGTCACTGAATATCTTGATCATTGTCTTTATAATTGGGGTGTGCATGCTTACTGAAGATGAGTGTATCGAGTGAAAATTCCTATTTAGTTGTGTTTGTCAGTTGTCTACATAGTGTAGTACATTTGATGATTAGGATATATGCGACGACTTTTATGTATATATATATATATATATATATATATATATATATATATATATATATATATATATATCAGTACCCCTGCTTCGGTTTGGGCACCCGGGCAGTATCACAGCCCTCACACAAATCAATTGAGGTTCGTGTGGTGCATATGTATTTGGTGCCTCCCTGTACCTATACTTATGTGTTAAAATAAATAAATAAAATAAATATATCAGTATATGTATTTATATATTTATCATCTATCATACATCGGTCTGGTGATAATAAGCACATGTTCAAACTGTGACTGGTTTTTGTAGATCCGAATGTGACAGAACCCCATTGTCAGAGATGTTGATTCACAAGCAAATGAAATGCCTAGATCTGAAGATTGAAATTCTCCAGATGAAGAAGCAATATTGGTCGGACAAACTGAAATTATCATCGAAAAGCTGAATGTTTGGTGAAAGCCAATCTATACATGAACTACCACTGTGATTGTCATCAATTCTATTCGCATATGAATAGTAGACATTTGTAAATTCGATTTATACACATGTATGTATACGTATTCTGACTGACGAAGATTGTTCTTCCTTTTCATCATTATTGTCTATTTGTATGGTGCGTGTATGTGTGTGTGCGTGTGAAGTTGTTTGCCAGTCAGTTCTTTTGTTTTGAATCCATTTGAAGTGGACTTTTGTTCAATACTGCTCTGTTTCAAATGTTGAGCACTGTAATGACTACTGTGTTGCATACTGTACATAATTAAATTTCAATGTTGGTTTTGTAAAAATCTTATTTTGTCTTTGAATTTATGGACGTCATCGACAATTGGTTGTGTGGATGACGGATGATACTTGACTTAGAATACACATGCCCGCTCTCCCTCTCGAAATGCTCTCACGTGGCCATGCGTATATAGCCTCTGCCAGGGAAGTCCTACTCACTGCCTTCTCGTGGCGGGGGTGTTTTTTACAAAAATGAGAGGACGAAAAGCGAATGTCTGGCGCTTTAACCGGACCCCAAACCAATGGTGCACATGGGCTCCAGTATCCTGAAGGAACAAATGGCGTATGAACCAATCGTTGGTCACCGGCTTCCATGGGACTGCATCTCCTTACGATGCTCCACTGCCTTGTGGGTCAGACGTTCAGGTCGAAGGCTCGGAGTGTGGCCCCCTAAGAAAACCACCTGCTTCGGTTTGGGCACCCGGGCAGTATCACAGCCCTCAGACAAATCAATTGAGATTTGTGTGGCGCATACGTATTTGGTGCCTTCCTGTACCTATACTTATGTGTTAAAATAAATAAATAAATAGAATACACATGTGTTAGACCTTTGTCAATTTTATTTATTATCATGATGAATTGGTTTGATTTATATTTATTCTAGTGATTTCTCTGTAATTAACTGCTTGATATTTCATTCCTGATACATATTCGATATATGAGTACAGTTGATGTCAACTTCCAATACTTGATGACCACATGTGACGGAGATTGGAGAGAATAAATGGTCTCATTTGAATGATAATAATAATAATAATAATAATAATGTTGATGATCGTTAAAAATAAATTTATTTTTGTTATATCTCAATAAATAGAATTATTGTATTTCCGACGTTATATGATATTTTGTAAATCATTTGTTTACAGTAAATACATAACCGACATTATCGTAACTTCTATGAATTCGGTGTTCATCATGTTGTGTTAATGAGGTATGGCAACTTGGATCGATGCATATATGTGCGAGGTGCTACATTGTAGCTGACTGCCTGAAGTGTTAATAGTATTACTGAACACAGTCTCCAGCTATAGAATGACTTATCTTGAAACTGATCAACTACCACAAGTACACATTGGTCAGTAGCCACTGCAACATTCCCTACTTGTTTTGTCATACAGAGCATAACACTAAATTCTGATTAATCTATAAAAGGCCAGTATTTAATAATCACTAAGGAAAATCTCGAAATTGCAGAAAACCGTACAATGTTCCGAACTCCAAACCGACCGACACAAAAAACATTTCAGGAAACTTCCCAGGCGGCACGTGTCGACGGCAACCGCAGCCGATAAACACAGCCTTCTTTTATACATCACTAATGTGATTATGAAAATTCGCTATGTCGTCGACATCGGCACACAAGTTAGCGTTCTTCCAGCAATTTCCAACGACTGACTACAATTTAGAATCTGATAAGTCTATAAAACATAGTTTGTAAAGGCCAGTATTTCACAAATTATTACATTTCACAAATCCATTCAATTTGTACACTTTAAATCATGTGACACAATGAATAAGGCGTACTTCATTTTCCAAAAGAAAAAATTCATTTTCAAAAAGATTAAAAGACTAATCACCAAATGCCAGCAAATTCGATCGATAAATGAGTAAATGTGGTTGAAGTGGTTACCGTATTTTTTGAAGGGAGGACTGAAATCTTCATTTGCTTTCAGTTCTGTTTATTCTCTCAGTGCTTCCCCTTTTCGAGTAGCATCAGTTTCCGCTGATAAATCAAATAAGTCGGTGTGGTGAACATATTTGTTTATTTTTTCTACGTTCATATGATTGATGGTATTCCTAGAGCGTAGTTCATACAAATGTACTAATAAAAGTGAGCTATGGTATCGATTAGTCGGTGTACGAATTATTAGAAACTAAAGGTCAACTCCATCATGTTATTAATCAAGTAGGTACAATGAAGGTCATTGTAAATCAAAATAATATTTGAGTAAATAGTTATTATAGACTTAAATAAGATATGTGTCTGTGAATTTGTAGCACATATGTTCTCATTATTCAATATTTGTACAGTGCCAATCACTCTCAGGCATCGTTCCGTCCATATTTTGGACAAGTGCTGCATTAAAGAGCACAATTTTCACTGAAGACTGTACACTGTATTCACACAAACTGGAGGCGGTATATTATGATGAGCGGGTGAATGCCACCTCAAGTCAATCCGACGAAATTTGTACTGAACATGAATCACACTGAATTAACAATGCGATCGCACGTTTTTATCTCGTCTTAACGAATATGATTCCTGATCTTTAAAAATGACTTTTTTTCTTATGGAAAATAAAGTACTCCTTATTCATTGTGAACTCCACCTGTAGCTCTGCTAGAGTTACTGCCGGTCCCAAGCCCGGGTAAAGGAGGAGGGTTGGGCATGGGGTTAGCGTCCTCATCCCGTAGAAAACTGTTATGATTTTATTGTCCGGCTTACGATCACGTGACTTATCCACCAATCAGAATACGGCGTATACAAATATTCGCACTATGACAAGACCAATGACGTTCAACCGGTCTGAGCAGTTTAGCGTCTTTATTGGGTCCTATGTCCTTCTAACCCGTCCGCTTGAGTCCAGAATGTAAATAACAGCTTCCGTAATATGAATCGAATCATTTATTTCAGACATACTCGGTTTATATATCAACCAGGCAGACCACAACGTACCATAAAATAGAAAATAACATGTGTACACAAATAAGCCAAAAAGTGGCTATGAACGCGGGAGACAGTAATTAATAAACTGAGCATAATTTAGGGACAGTAAATCGTACAATGAGAAATTATAGTTCAAAGTGAAGCTTATAACAAGAGGAACATAAATATACATAATCTAACTATTGAATAGTTATAACGTAAGAATATATAGAGAATATTAGTCAACTAATGTCTCAGAAGCTACTCGTGATTTAATCTTCGCTCGGATATAACAAAAACTAACTCGCTAAAAATGCGCTAACCAAATAACTCAAACCGTTTAAACTCTGACCTTGGAGTTAGAGGTAATATGACGCTTCATGGTGAAAGCCGAGTTCCTTCGGAAGCCACGAGGCCGATGCCCCTCCTAACAACCAGAGCAACAATTTTTATAGGTACATGGAACTTCCGGACAATGTGGGAGACCAGAAAGACCAGTCAAATAGCAACGGAAATGAGGAGATATAACTTGGCAGTACTGAGAATCAGCGAAACCCACTGGACCTAAGCTGGACAACAAAGGCTAAATACGGGAGAGATGCTGCTATACTCCGGTCACGAACAGGAAAATGCTCCACACACTCAGGGAATTGCTCTAATGCTGTCCAATGTAGCACAAAATGCACTTGTAGGATGGGAATCTCACGGATCCAGAACCATCAAAGCATCATTCAAAACAACGAAGGAGGGGATCTTAACGAATATTATGCAATGTTATGCACCCACCAATGATAGCAACCACGACATTAAAGATCGATTCTATGAGAGGCTGCAATCAGTCATAGAGAAGTTCCCAAGAAAGGACCTCACCATTCTGATGGGAGATCTAAACGCCAAATTTGGAACAGACAACACCGGATATGAAGATATCATGGGACTACATGGACTGGGAGAGAGAAACGAGAACGGGGAAAGATTTGAAAATCTGTGTGCATTCAACAAATTGGCCATAGGCGGCACAATATTTCCACACAAACGTATGCACAAAGCTACATGGATCTCACCGGACCACACCACAGAGAATCAGATAGATCATATTTGCATCAACAAAAAGTCCCGAAGGACAATGGAAGATGTGAGAACCAGAAGAGGAGCGGACATAGTTTCAGATCACCACCTGGTTGTGGCCAATTTAAAACTGAAGCTAAAGAAGAACTGGACAACTGGACAAACAGCGCTACAAAGGTTCAATACAGTCTTCCTTCGAGATACTGACAAACTCAATGAATTCAAGATAGCTCTCAACAACAGGTTCCAAGCCCTACAGGATCTACTGAAGGAAGAAGAAACTACTATGGAGGATAGCTGGAAAGGTATCAAAGAAGCATTAACTTCAACGTGTCAAAAAGTCCTGGGCCCCAAGGAGCATCATCACAAGGGATGGATCTCTATAGAAGCACTAGACAGGATCAAAGAAAGGAAGAACAAGAAGACAACAATTAACAACAGCCGAACACGAGCAGAGAAAGTGCAAGCACAAGCTGAGTACATAGAAGCAAACAAGCAAGTGAAGAAGAGCATTAGAGCTGACAAGCAGAAATACGTGGAAGAACTAGCAACGACGGCGGAGAAAGCTGCAAGAGAAGGAAGTATGAAACAGCTTTACGATACAACGAAGAAACTAGCAGGGAAATATAGTAAACCAGAGAGACCAGTCAAAGAGAAAGAAGGAAGACCAATCACTGAAATTCAACAACGGCGGAACAGATGGGCAGAGTACTTCGAGAAACTCCTGAATAGGCCGGCTCCAATGAATCCACCGGACATCGAAGCAGCACACACAGATCTTCCAACAGATGTCCATCCACAAACGACCGGAGAAATCAGAATGGCCATCAGACAAATCAAAAGCGGGGAAGCAACAGGACCCGACAACATACCAGCTGAAGCACTGAAGCCAGACATCGAAGTAACTACAAGCATGCTTCATCTTCTATTCAAGAAGATTTGGGAGGAGGAACAAGTGCCGATGGACTGGAAAGAAGGACACCTCATCAAGATTCCAAAGAAAGGAGATCTGAGCAAGTGTGAAAATTGAAGAGACATTACACTACTGTCAATACCAGGAAAAGTCTTTAACAGAGTCTTACTGAACAGGATGAAAGACATAGTAGACGCTCAACTTCGAGATCAACAAGCTGGATTTCGTAAGGATCGGTCATGTACAGACCAAATTGCGACACTACGGATCATCGTCGAACAATCAATTGAGTGGAACTCGTCACTGTACATCAACTTCATTGATTATGAGAAGGCATTTGACAGTGTAGATATGAGAACGTTATGAAAACTTCTTCGACACTACGGAGTTCCTGAGAAGATTGTCAACATTATCCGGAACTCATACGATGGACTACAGTGCAAAGTAGTGTATGGAGGACAGCTGACAGATGCATTCCAAGTAAGGACCGGAGTCAGCCAAGGCTGTCTACTCTCTCCCTTCCTCTTTCTTCTGGTGGTCGACTGGATTATGAAGACCTCGACATCTGAGGGAAAACTCGACAAACAATGGACATCTCAGAACCAATTAGGCGATTTAGACTTCGCAGATGACCTAGCCAACCTATCGCATACACACGAACAAATGCAGATAAAGACAACCAGCATAGCAGCAGTCTCTGCATCAGTAGGCCTCAACATACACAAGAGGAAAACCAAGGTCCTCAAATACAACACGAAGAACAGCAATCCAATCACTCTTGATGGAGAAACTCTGGAAGATGTAGAATCCTTCACATAGTTGGGAAGCATCGTCGATAAACAAGGAGGATCAGACGCAGACGAAAAGGCGAGGATCAGCAAAGCAAGGGCCGCATTCCTTCAATTAAGGAACATATGGAACTCAAAACAACTTTCAACCAATGTCAAAGTCACAATCTTCAATGCGAACGTCAAGGCAGTTCTACAGTACGGAGCTGAAACTTGGAGAACTACTACAACCACCATCAATAAGGTACAAGTATTTATCAATAGCTGTCTACGCAAGATACTCAACATCCATTGGCCGGATACCATCAGCAAGAGCCATATGTGGAGTGAACAATCCAGCTTCCAGCTGAAGAGGAAATAAGGAAAAGACGATGGAAATGGATAAGACATACATTGACGAAATCATCAAACTGCATTACGAGGCAAGAGCTAACTTGAAATCCTGAAGGGAAGCGGAAAAGAGGAAGGCCAAAGAACACATTACGTCAGGAAATAGAAGCGGATATGAAAGGAATAAATAACAACTGGAAAGAGGTGTAAAGAATTGCCCAGGACAGGGTTGGATGGAGAATGCTGGTGAGCGGCCTATGCTCCTTCGCGAGGAGAAACAGGCGTAAGTAAGTGAGTTATTCATTGTGTCACATGATTTCAAGTGTACAAATTGAATGGATTTGTAAAATGTAATAATTTGTGAAATACCGGACTTTACAAACTATGTTTTATAGATTAATCAGAATTTAGTGTTATGCTCTGTATGACAAAACAAGTAGGGAATGTTGCAATGGCTACTGACCAATGGACGCTTGTGGTAATTCATCAGTTCCAAATTAGGTTTTTCTATAACTGCAGCCTGATTCGAATTCAAATATGTATTTTAAGAATAGAAGACTGAAGGTGTGTGTTAGTCTTGTTCTTGTATGCTTTAGCGTCTGCCTGGTGTTTTCTTGAGAGTGTTAAGTGCTGATAACTCAGTGGAAATACCTATGTACACTGAAAGCTCGTTTGTTTTGGCTTTGAAACTTATCTGCTATGTACTATAAGTTGTCTTGATCCAGTTGTTCGAAAAAGAGCGGATGTATTAGGTCCAAAATCATCTTTTACTATCTCATACATCATAATTACGTTACGACTTAATCTATATTAATATAGTGTGAAATGATTTAGTGTCTTAAGTAAAACATAATCTGAATCGCACATGTAACTGTCCTTTGTACTCTTCCCAACAAATATTAATCGTCTATTTAAACAACATCTTTTGTTCTGCAGACATTCTCTAATATGAACCTAACTAATTTTGTGTAAATAATGTTACATGATGCGAGTGATTGGGACTATCTTCAGGTTCGTCTTCTTTCTTACCAAACTGAGAGAAACAATAACATGCGTTTTATCTTCTGGAATTATTGCAATTTTGGCATGGTGGTAAGCAGTAGGATTCCGGATTTGCATCCCTATTAATTTCTAACTCGTTACCTGATCAGACTTACTCTCAGTGTTGATATCCATACTGAGACTCGAGCCCGGTATCTATCACCGCGAACGCCAACTCTAGGGAATCCATCCGGTCATTAATTTCAGTCCTTATTATCAAGAATATGAAAGCACAAAGCCACTTAAGTACATAACTCATAGTTGTGATTTGAAAAATCGTTAACAAGCACAATATGAACATGGATGTATCAGATGATATAGTTCGTCCACAAATGTATACAGGAAGTTAGTAAGCTTCTTCAATTCTTCAATTTCAATGTGATCAGTCACATGACCACTAAATCATACCAGTGTTCGTCTTTGGAAATCTCCTGTGGACGCTCACCGCAGCGCAAGTATTTGCAAAAGAAATTAATACATACAACTCGGCATTGTGTATACACTGCTCTGTGTATTCTAAATCAAATGTGCAATTATAACGACTGAACTAGTCAGGGGCTAACCTAAATTGTTGTTTACACAGTATCTAACACAAAGTAGGCTTAACTGAATCACATTTGGCAACAAATAATTCAGTTTTATCAACTAACTGTCATCACAATCATTTTGAAAAACTATTGGCTGAGCACATTCGTCTGAAGTGAAAAAGATGACTAATTCTTTTATTTATGTCTGACATACAAGTCTGACTTGTCTACAAACTGTTATTGGTTATTCGGTAGGCTTGAGGTCACACAAAATACATTGAATAAACAACAATGTCAACACGCATTGTAAATAACCTCAGACAGTTTGAGAAAACAAACACACTGTGGCCTATACAACAAACACATGAAATAAATAAGAGGTGAGAAATAGCTGTACTAAAGCCTTATCGATTAATTTGTTCACATATTAAACAAGGATATGACTCATCCAAGGTCAGTCGATATAATCACAGTGGTAAGATTTCGAAACATAATTCAACAAGAACTAACGCGGTTAAGGTGTAGTATAGAGACGAGTAAATTAGAATCGAGAATGTGATTTTTTCGGCTTTTGTCACAAATCGAAACTTCACGAACAGCATGCAGTAAAATACCTTTGTGCACTGCCCAATATATTTAAAATATTTGTGAAAAATTACTTTTTGTCACTATGATATAAGTGATAGTGTAGAACCTATCGAGTGCTGAATTCCGTCTTTGTAAATTCCATGTAACAGGTGAATCGACATTATCTGAATATCCTCACTGTAAACACTTAGTTTAAGGATCAACTGATCAAATAGTACCCCCTTGATTTTTGTGCTAAATTTATTCATCCATTTACCGACAAGTCATTTTTGCATTACTGCTGATGTACTGTACTCTGCCACATATAATACCAATTATTTTTCACTCGTTGTTGTCAGTTTTCCAATTTAATCTGCTATGAATTTGATCGATTTGATAATCCCGTTTATCTAATGATGGATTGGAGAAGAATGCTTAATTCACATGTGTTTGTCACACACTCAATTGATATGAGTGTTTTGTAGGATTGATTGGGAGGGTGGACACATATAATAAATCACACGATTTTCTCGTTGTATCAGTTCACATCAAATTGTATATTAGTAACTAGAAGAATAAGATAATCAAAACTTGTCAGTCCTATTCGCTCATTTTCCTCCATCTTCTATGTGGTTTATATATTATCGATCGTTAATTTGTTGTTTGTTTGTAAGAAATTGATTTTCTTATTATTTGAATTACTGAATAAAAAGACATGGCAATAAAAAACATATTTCGTGTAATTGAAGAATGTTTAATCAAGGCTTAGCAACTGAAATTATATCGTTAATGTTAAATGAAAATTTTAGAAATCTATTCACGAAACTGTGTTAAATAGAAATTTTCAAAAACTAAAATGAAAATTAGTCATTTTTTGTTGTTGAGGTTTTCATGAGGAAAAGAAATTGAACAATGTAAGAAAATTTATAGGAAAATCAATTCATAACATATGAACATGAATAAAGTAATATCTAACAAATTCTAATGGTACGCGTAACACTGGATTTACTTTGTGGGTTACTGAATAATACCGTCATGTAGGCTGTCAGTTTAAAAAAATACAACAAATATATTTCTTTGAACAGGGACAAACATGTAATGACAATGTGTTCAAGAAATTGATATCTACACATCAACTACATGAGGTTCAAATACTCTTATCCAAAAACAACGAAGACAATTTGCAATTCAAACGTAGTGAACGGATGAATAATCAATTACAACTAGTGACTTCGTAACAACAGGAATAAAATAAGAATTAATAATTAGTATATGACCTAAACAGTTTTAGTTGAAATAGACATAAAAATGGAACAATGAAATCGAAAGTAATTTGATGACCAGAGAGAAGAAAGAAGTCATACATACAATTTCTGAATGTAGAGATCAGGTTTATTTAGGTGGACTCATACCGATTCCACTATATGTGAGATTCAACTTCCCAAATCATAAAGTATATTAAATGCGGTTCGAATATTATTATCAATGCTACATTCATGTCGACTAAATGGACTGAGTCAACTGAATGTCGAGTTAGAGAGATTCTTATTATTCCTCTGTCGGCATTCACTCAAATGCGAAGCTTGATGTTCCAACATTCATGTTTACACATGAAACGTGTACTCATTCAATAAATTTTCTACATAATCTCAATCTCCTTACTCTACATAACTAATGGGTTGAGCGTTAAGAATAGTGAACTATTCACTGAATCAAACCAGGGAACATACATCACTTGATTTCAGTTGAGATTTTTCACACTCATCCAACCTGGAAACAACATAGTCGAAGTCTCACTATCATACACTACTCTATTTGTAATTGTTCAATATCACGGAAACACACTGACGATACAACTCTCGAAACCGAAGTATCTCTGCAAAGTTGATTCGTTCTATTTTAGGACCCTCATTATAGTCCATGCACTGAACCACCAACGAATAAAACAAGCAACTAACGACAAAGCGACAATTTGATTTTTTCCTGCGAAATTGTCAAGACAGTGTGTCGATTAGATGGGTAGTTAGCACAAATTTAAGTGAAATGCGCAACCACTTCCGAATGGATCTGTGGTGAAACATGACACGTCCAATGCTAGACTAGTTAGATTTATTATGAATCACTCTAAGATCAGTTGGAACGGTGAAAATATGCACAACCTGAACTGAGGTCACAATTAAGCATGAATAAATTACTAACACTGTAACATATTCATCACTGGTTGATTAGTGTTAGTTAATTGGTCGGTTGGAAATTGTTGGTTTGCAATGAACTATTCTTAATTTGTATGTCGCATTTGATTGTGTGTTTAGTTTATGTTCAGTAATCTCATCTCAGTCACATGCTTCAACACTCCTTTCCATATGTC